ACATGGAGCCAGCTGCCATCAGCCTAAAGGCTGGGAAAGTAGTGGAACATCCTGACCTAAGTGAAGTCATGGGAGATTTGCTGTAGAAGTCAATTGGTTAAGGTTTTTAAGCTATGGCAAGATGATCTTCAGTCAGCCAATATGTCGCATGGTAACTATATACAACTACAGTACTATGTACTGCACAGCTGTGTAAGTTTAGTAAAAAATGCAAGTGCCATACCCATGGAATACACAGAGAACTTAAGACGTCACATCCCCAAGTAGCTGCATGCCCCACATCGGAATCCCCAGAACAAACATGTAAAATTATTTGGCCTCATCCAGTCCCAGTTGTGCAATAGTAATCTAGTGCAACAGCTAGCAGTCCCATATGGGAATGCCCTTGCACCAACAGCAAATATAAAATTCAGTAAATGAGAAGTAAATTTCATTTGTGTGATGCACATTAAATTGCATACCGGCTTTCCTATCAGTTGCAATGATCCATTCTAACCAAGATACTAAAACAGCTGCCTAACTCTAAGGTATTTGATTATATTTTTAACCCTACCATTTTTTCAAGGAGCAAAGAATAGTGTATCATCCTCCCTGACCGATACCCACAACAATCCTGGCAGTTAGGTTAAATAGAAGTGCAAGGCCATCCTATATCCCTGGCCGTATTATGACATGTTGAAGGTTCACGAAGGCTGTTGAAATAAACACAATTTAGGTTCAAAAGTTATGAACGATTTTTTTAAAAAAATCTGTCAAAGAGGTGGGATCATAACTCTCTCTCTCTATACAAACATACACACACACACACAAATAAAAAGAACATTAGAACAAGGACAATAATATTGGTTGCAATTCACTATAGGGTTATCTGCAATTAACCCATTTTGCTTCATAATTCAGTTCTGAAAAACTTGCTATACAGGATCTCAAGCTATGTAATTCAGCTCATGGATCTTGTAGCTGTTTTTGAAGAGCCTCTCTGTCTACCCTACATCCGGGGCGGGGGGTTGAGGGAGGGCAGACACATTGCTGAGGAAGGCTTCCTGGAGGCATATGCCTAGAGTGCATGACTGATAGATAAGTTGCATCAATAAATTAATGAAATGTTGTTGTTTTTAATCATGTTTTGACCAATTTTACTTGAGGGGAACAAATTTTGTTGAGATACGTTTGTTAAATTTCAGTGTAAAGAGGCAAAGGTAAAGAAGCTGTCGAGCTGAGCGTGATTCCAGGTGATGCAGCATTGACTGGTTCCAGGCAACCACATCAGAGCGGTGGTTTGCCATTTCAGGATATTGTGTGATGTTTTTGTTTTTTGTTTTTTCAAATTCCTAGTTCAATATTTCTTTGTAGTGCAGTTTAAATAGAGGGTTTTGTCATATGTTTGCTGATTTCAGTTGATGCTGAGTGCCATTTTAAAGGTCTTTTAATGCTTTTAACTGAACAGTTAAACATTATTTATAAAATTAAAGGGGTTGATCCCTTAAATGTGGAAAATGTGGCTAGCCCCTTCCCTTATTTGTTTTCAGTAGCATATGTCATTCGGGGATATTTTGTGCAGTTTTTAAGCATATGACAAAAACAAGATTACTGACAGTTGCTTGTACCCCATTTAAAGACATCTTCAAAAGAGAAGACTGGATTTAATAATTTTCTGAAGTATTGACTGTCAAAACTTTTCCAAGCGCATCTAATTTATTTGGAACTTGAGATTCCTACTCACTACCACAAAGATCATCTCACAAGCCACAGAGACAATCTACAGTTGGTCTCACTAGTCAAATTCATGGAGTTAACCAAAAGGGGAAGAGAAATAAAATATTGTGGAGGATTTCTATCCCTGGGCACTGTTGTTGCTCAAGCAGAACGGCATTCTTCCTGATTCTTTCTCTGTCCAAGGTGCTGATTGCTTCAAAAATAAACATTAATTGCAATTATAATGGGAACTGGCTGGAACACACAACTTTGAGAAGATCAGAGACTATTCTTGAAGGAACCAAAGATTTTTCTCTGACCTAAGTGATTAGTTTATTATAATCTTGTTTATCACAGGATATTCCAATTCTTAAAAAGACGTATCAGGAGTGGGATGTAGAATTTTGCGAGTTCTAGTCCTGCCTTAGGCATGAAAGCCAGCTGAGTGACTTTGAGCCAGTCACACTCTCTCAGCCCAACCCACCTCACAGGGTTGTTGTTGAGGGAAAAATAGAAGGAGGAAGGAATATTAAGTATGTTTACCCCCTTGAGTTATTTATAAAATAAATAAATAAATAAAGGCGGGATAAACATCTAATAAATAAATAAATAAAATTGTAGAAGGCTTCTACTCATCAATACTATCACAATCAGGCCCTTGGTAACTTATTCACACAAAGTGACAAAAGAGGTGAAAAGGTCTTGTTTCATGGAACCTGGACAGGCTGCAATGAAACTCTTTCTGTCCTCAGACTGAGACACATTGTATGGTGCCTGAATAAGTGTGAACAGAGGCTAGCCAGCCGTGCATTGCAGGTCTTCCCCTCACTCTGCTCTGTGGCACTTTCTTTTTCTCCATATAGAAGAAAATATAGGACTATATCTTAAATGGAATCTACAGCTGGCCCTAGGAATTCCAAATCTTTGCCCCTCTCAACCAAGTATAAAGTATCATTTACTGTCATGCACAAAATAAATTAGTATCCATTTAAAGCTGAGCCAACTTTATAATTGATAATACAGCTATATCATTTATTGCAGTGTTTCTCAACCTTGGCAGCTTGAAGAT